GGAATAAACATGCAGACGTAGAGAATGGACTGGAGGATATGGGGAGGGGGAAGAGTAAGCTGGGATGAAGTGAGAGAGTGGCATGGGCATATACACACTACCAAATGTAAAATAGACAGCTAGTGGGAAGCAGCCACATAGCACATCAGCTCAGTGCTTTGTGACCACCTAGAGGGGTGGGATAAGGAGGGTGGGAGGGAGACGCAAGAGGGAGGGGATATATGTATACCTATAGCTGACTCACTTTGTTATACAGCAGCAACTAACATAACAATGTAAAGCAATTATACTCCAATAAAGATGTTAAAATAAATAAATAAAAAGTTTTTAAAAAATGTGTACCAAATATTAAAAGATAGTCTGTCTTAGAATAATTTCATATCACACCAGATTGCAAACAAATGAGTCCTTGTACCAAGGTGCATTGGTAATTCCTGGATATGAATGACATTAAAATGAAAGTACTGATTGAGAAGGCAGACCCATTGAATTCTCCAGGCTGGATATACAGCTTGCTTCATTGTTAATGGCACTTGTGTGTTCACACAGTTGGAGAAACAGACTTCTGTTCGTTTGTTGCTTTCAGTATGTAATACTTTATACCAACAAATTTTAAAATGTTAAAAAAAAGACAACACTTTAAGTGTGACGGAGTAGGAAAAGTTATTGATCTACGACAGTGGAAAAGGATTATAATACATACGTGAACATGAGACAGTGGGTATTAGTAAGTATGAAATTAGGAGCATATCACACACACAATAGTTGAATTCGTCTCTTACCAATGATTACTAGTTATAAAAGGTAAGGGCATTTTTATTCTTATAGCAATATATAATTATACTAGTTTGAAAGCTTTTTATTATTTTCCTTTTTCATTCACAAGGAGTTTGCAGGAGAAGCAAATCCTTCAAATGTGTTTAAACTGGCTGATTTATCAACGCGTTTTAACTTGCTTCTTTTCCTAATTTAACCTACTGGAGTGTATACCGTAGCAGGATCTGAAAATAAAATAAATAAATTTGACTTCTTAATATTGAACTGTAAAACGAACATATTGAAAGAAGCAGGAGCTGTAAAGCTGCCCTCACGAGACAGAATGGCTTGCTGACCAAGGCAGAGTTGTGTGAAACCTGGTTATACTAACGTTACACATAAAAGCCCTAAGATGAGGACAGCGGTAGAGGCACAGTGGTGGCGATGGCGACAGTGATTGGGGTGCCCGAGAAGCTCCCTGAGGAGCCATCCAAGCAGCAACCGAGGGGGCTCTCCGGCTCACAGCTCAAGCCTCATGAGGAGACCCACGGCGGGATGTGAGAGCAGCCCAGACCACAGCTAGCTGAGGCTCGGAAGAGCATGGTGATCAGCCTGGGTACGTCCCCTAACCGGTGGTCACTCATCACTGAGTTTTCAACAGTTGTCAACAACATAAACGACTAATATAATTTTCACAAATCCAAACTTATTTAATCCCAAAGGATAATCTGCATTCTAAGATTGTGTCACCCTACTTTTTTCACATTAAAATGTTCATTCTTTTACCAAAGGATGGAATTAGGGCTGAGAAACTTTGTTTTAAAATGAGCTTACTTGGCAAATTAAAAGTTGGAAGTCCTCAATCAGGTCTCCAATTTTATTTTATTTTTCATTTTATAGACCTAGTAAGTACCTGTCAACCTAAACCAACGCCAGAAAAGTAGGAATTAACCAGGCAAAAATTTGGGCAGAGGGAGCAGCAGGCACACAGGAACAAGGATGAGGAAAAACATATCTTTTAAGTCTGCACTTCCAGAACTCTGGAAAGAAAGAGCAGAAGATAAGGCCAAGGAAGTACACAGCCCTCCAAGAGATGCTGCAGGCTATTTAGGGGCTGCAATTTGATCCAAGAGGCAATGAAAGGTCATTAGTTCAACTTTTTAGTGTATGCTATTTACAAACCTTTTCCAAGGGTATATTTATTTGGTCAGATAATTTTTCAGACTCAAAACTACATCAAATTCCCATTAAGTTTTCTCTAAATCAAGTTAGTTGTAGCTATGGTCTACTGAGATTATTTTGTTTCCTGATCAATCATACAACATATCTACTATTTCTTTCCACTTTATGTCTTCTGGAAATATGACTATATCCTTTGAATGTTTTTTCTATGTCCTCTTTAAAAATGGAGATTAGTTACAGGAGGACGCGCTTCTAAAACTTTTTTAATTTGGACATCAAAATATTAACCAGCATCCTCTGAATATAATTCTTTAACCAATGACTAATCCACCTAACAATTTTTATTTATATTTCTTTACCATGTCTATACTGAGACACTGTGGCAACAGTATCCTGCTGAAGTTTATATACCCTACTAGGTATCTAAGTAATTTTTTCACAATGCCTCTAAGGCCGAAAGAAATACCTAGCAGTCCCATTCATTAAACAGTTAGGTCAAAACTGCTTAACAGTATGGTCTACACTTTGTCCAACAGATGTAGTTACGTTTCCCTCACAACTGTAAAATATCCAAGGCACTGTGAGGCTCCAACTTGCCTCAGCGCACAGGTTGAGAACTATAGCTCTAGCCTACAACCCTAAAAAGAAATAAAGGCTGTATCTGACAAAATCCATTCTCTGTGAATTTATGCTGCATTGCAGTGATGACTGCTTCCTTTTTTCTTTCTTTCTTTCTTTTTTTTTTTTGCGGTACGCGGGCCTCTCACTGTTGTGGCCTCTTCCGTTGCAGAGCACAGGCTCCGGACGCACAGGCTCAGCGGCCGTGGCTCACAGGCCCAGCCGCTCCATGGCATGCGGGATCTTCCCAGACTGGGGCACGAACCCGTGTCCCCTGCATTGGCAGGCGGACTCTCAACCACTGCATCACCAGGGAAGCCCGACTGCTTCCTTTTAAGATGTTTGCAGCCTCTACTTTTAATCTTGCCTGGGATGAACATGAAAAAAACTAGTCTAGTTTTTAGAATCTGCCTTTTGAAAATTATATGATACTTGATGATCTCCAGTTTGCTACCAATTCTTCCATTTTCTACGTCCTCACATAAAACCAAAATAAATTCAATGAATATATATGAAAGTTCATTCAGTATTTGGTATCATGTTTAATCTTTAAAGTACCCAATATTTTAAAATTTTATAACCAACTAAACCAATAACTGTTTTGCCTGTTCACTAGTAGTATCTCAAGAAGCTGAGAAGTCCTTAAAACGGTGCTCAAGGAGCTGAACTCTACACTCAGACGGACTTAGTTTAAATCCTACCTCCGCCACTTACTAGTGGCCTGACCATACACAGGTTTTAAATCTCTGCAGGTCCTAATTTCTTCATCTTATTAAAAGAGTGATATCTAATTCAAAGGGATGCTGTGATAAGTAAATATAACTTGGTACATAATAAGTATGCAATAAATAATATCTATCATCAATAATAACAAGTTCAAAGCAACATAAGAAAAGGTATACTATATGTTTGAGTACTGCTAAACCCCCCAAAGTTAGCAGAAAGGAAATGATAAACGATCTCACAATCACAAATGGTTGAAAAGCTGAAAATTAAAATACTGAAACTATATCTGATGCTCAAACAAAGACTGAATGGAAGTTGTGTTCTAGTGGAAGAAGTAACTGAGATACACAGTCATTGAAGACAATATGAAACAAGTGTAAATGTATGTGAACATTTCAAGGTTATATGGGAGCCTGATGCAAATGGACCAAACTAGTCCATTACTCATCACTCCAACTGTGAAGAACCAAGAAACCTTATGGAAGATGAACAGCATGAAGAAGCATAACATAGTTTTCCCTATTTTCTTTATACTATACACATTTATTTTAAGAGATCTGATTAAAATGAAACAAAAAAAGGGGCTTCCCTGGTGGCGCAGTGGTTGAGAGTCCGCCTGCCGAGGCAGGGGACACGGGTTCGTGCCCCGGTCCGGGAGGACCCCACATGCCGCAGACCGGCTGGGCCCGTGAGCCATGGCCGCTGAGCCTGCGCGTCCGGAGCCTGTGCTCCGCAACGGGAGAGGCCACAACAGTGAGAGGTCCGGGTACCGCAAAAAATAAAAAATAAAAAGCCATACAAATTATATAGTAGAAAGGTCAATAATACCAGAGGATAAAACCCCACACAAAAATCTTCTTTACCATTTCATAAAAAACATGCATATGTGGAAGTCTGTAGCCCTCTTTTCTCAAAAATGGGAAGTATTTACAATTAGCTTAACACTTCAGGCTACTGTACATAATTCATAATGTTAATTTGTATTCCCCTCAATTATTTACCTCTGCTCAGCTACCTTTTAATAATCTTTTATAATTGGGAGAGCCATAAAGAGTTTTATCACACTCAAAAGTATTCTCTGTAAAATGACAAATTAAATTTTCACAAAATGGTATCTGCTCTTAACTGGAATGTTTTTATGGAAGAAATGGGAAGATCTAAAAAAAACACATATGCATACTTTAAAAAAAGGAACTATGCAAGTTAAAACTATTGACTGCAACCATATTAAATTAATTAATGGAAGAAAAGAAAAAACCCAATGAACAGGATCATAGTGAGCCATCAATCAGAGATGAACATGCAGAGAAAGACAAAGAGAAAAGTGGGGTTCTAAGTAATGAGGAAAAGGAAGACCCAAAGGCATGTCTTGGATTTCTGCATAGAATGTAATTCCATTTTAAATATATTCTGATTTATTTAAAGCAAGTGGATAAAGTTATTACAACCATATGTTGGTTCAAAGTTATCACATGTTCCTTTAAGTAGTATGTGCAGCCTATAACATATATAAGCTACAAAAATCAGGCTGAAGAGCTACATGTTTTCCACATGTAATCAAGGGCCAAATTTGCACATAAGAAAATGACTGCATCCAGAAGGCAAAAAATATTCTATGTATAATGGAGAAAACACCCAGAAGGTGTAGGTATTAGGCTGTACATGGCCTAAGACAAATTTACAAGCAAGGGTGAATTTATGGATCATCACGGTCCAACCTGTTTATATTGGCTTGTTTAGACACGGCCTTCAATCTTTTCCAAGTTTTTCTAAGAGCATCGGCATCAGAGGAATGGTGATGACCTGCAGCCCCCTTGGGAAATCCTGGATGTACTCCAGGTGGGATTCCTCTGCCAATAAATACGCATGATGACTTCCATTACTTTCTCTAAAGCAAAGCACAAGCAACTTCTGCAGAACATGCCATACCTTTCTGGAAGCCTTCGGCCATGTCTTTCACCTTTCCACTTAGCTTCATTATCTTCTGCTCTTTGTTGCTGCATTTGATCAAAAATGGCATGGTAATGTTCATACTGTCCTCGAGAAGAAAAAGATGATGGAGCCACAGCCCCTCCACTGCCAAAAAGGGGAGCCTAGGAATCAAACAAAGAGCTCTCACATGCTTGTCTCACAAGACCTAAAAGGTCTGTACTACCCTCAAAAGAAAAAAGTAAATTTCAACACTTGACTCTTAAAAAGCAATTACCTAATTTAACATGTTTTCCTACTATATTATAACCATTAACAATCAAAAACTAGTATACTTTGTTACTAACAATAAAGCTTAATTCAATGTAACTAAAATATAAACTATCACTAAATTTATGTAACTATGAAAAAACTTGGTCTTAATTAACAAGTTTTGAAACAAGTTTCTAGTATACATTTTATGTGATCCCATCCTATTAAGTTTAAATATGTATAGCTTATAAATAAAACAGAGCCTGCTTTTGTAACACTCAAAATTATATCTAACGAAAACATATGGCATTTAACATACCCCAAATCCAATTCAACAAGCAATGAGTATATAAACACCACTGAAACATACTCTAGGTGTAAATAAAAGAAACAAAACAACATACCAATCCTTAAGCAGTTGACAAACAAACTGGGAAACAAAGTGTAAAGCTTGAAAAACATTTCATTTCCTGTAGTAAATGAGTGGCCACAGGCACACTGTAAAGTAGTAAATACTGAACAAACTTACAAAATAGAAAAAAAAATTATGAGAAATAAAAATTCCAAAAAAAAAAATCACTGGAGAAAAATATTATTCAACCCAGCCTTGAAAGCAATGTAACAAAGAAAGAGTAAATGATTAAATATGAACCATTGTATTAAAGTAAAACTTAAAGTAAAAATAAGCACTGGAGGTGTATGTTTAGGTGTTGGCAGTAGGGGGAAAAAGGACGCAGGAAGACGCAATAAGTTAACTAGAAAGAAGGCAGATAGGAAGTGTTATTTGGTCCTAAAAGGTCATCACAGGTAACTACCCTCAGCTGTGAGAGTTCATAGAATAAACAACAGAAAGCACGCATACATTTTCTAGCAGGAAAGTGCACTAAGACAGTTTCTTAGAAGGTTGGTGGGACTTCCCTGGTGGTGCAGTGGTTAAAAATCCGCCTGCCAATGCAGCGGACAAGGGTTCGAGCCCTGGTCCAGGAAGATCCCATGTGCCACGGAGCAACTAGGCCTGTGCGCCACAACTACTGAGCCTGCGCTCTAGAGCCTGCAAGCCACAACTACTGAAGCCTGTGCGCCTAGAGCCCGTGCTCTGCAACGAGAAGCCACCGCAATGAGAAGCTCATGCACCGCAACAAAGAGTAGCCCCCGCTCACCACAACTAGAGAAACCCCGTGTGAAGCAACGAAGACCCAATGCAGCCAAAAATAAACAAATAAAGTTTTTAAAAAAAAGGTCAGTAAGTCAAATTACGCATGATAAGCAAGAATAAGAGAGAGAACAAAGTAGAGGAACTAATTAGAAGGCTTGCTGCACTGACACCAAGCCAAGAAGCCTGCGAACAAAGAAAGGCAATCAGAGAAGAAGTCAACGGTGAAGGGAGCTGTGGGTTCTCTGCAGAAATAACAAAGGATGAAGGCAAAGGCATAGGACGCAGCCTCAGAACACACGCACCCAAGCGCATGGAAAACTCACAGAAAACAGAGATGTCAGGATGAGAGTTGAGTAAGTGTAGAATGTTACAGAGGTCAGGGGGCAAGAACTGCACTGCAAAGAGGAAATAGGAACCTCAGAGGCAGAGGCCAGCAGCACCAAAACGAAGACAAAGTGACATGACTCAAGTGGAGGGATAGCACTCAAACGCGGATGAGAGCAGAAGCCAGAACACTGCCCGGAAAGGGAGAAGAGCTTCCAGGTGACGACATCCTGAGGAAGAAGTCTGGCTAAGGAAAATACGAGAACCAAATAAAAGGCATTTCAGTGTACCCAGTGAGGTAAAACTTGTGTTAACATCTTGACACAAGAATTGTGTACAGTATTATAAGAAAGCCTGATTTTAAAAAAAGTCAGCTCAAGATAAAAATAGAAAACTGATTCAAGATGCTTGAATAGCAAGAGATGAAAGTTGCTAGAAATAGGGATGATACTTCATTAGGCAGGAAACTCCATCAAGGTGATTTTCATATACATTTTCAAAATGTGCATCTCAGGGCAAGATTATCAGAATCACAATTCTGGTAAAAGGTGGTCATACCTCATACGAGCCTGGTTCCTCGAGTTTAGTGTGACGCTAATATCAACTTAAGGCTGAGTGTTCTAAGGTTTCTCTCTAGCAAAATCAAACGTATGTACATATCTCTGAAGATACCTATACTCAAAATAATGCTGAAAACACTGTACTAGAATACTGAAACAACAGGATCTTTTAAACATGACTTTATTCACCAATTATAAGCGCAGGTTGATGTTCTGACAAATACAGACACTCTTGGAACCACTACCACAATCGAAAGCACATCCATCACCCCAAAAGGTCCCTCATGTTCCTTTGCAGCCAACACCCCCTCCCTCCTTCTAGCAAACACTGATCTGCTCTCTATCACAGAAATTGGATTTGCCTTTTCTTATCATTTCATACAAATGGATTCATACAATATGTACTCTTGTGCCTGGCTTCTTTCACTCAGTATGCTGTTGACTGACCCATGTTGTTGCATGTATTAATAGGCTATCCCTTTTCAATGCTGAGCAGCATTCCAATATATTGTCAAACAACAGATACACTCATATATAATGGTTATCTATATAATCAAACTATATATGTGGAACATTTCATAATTTTTCTAAAAACACACTTTCATAAGAGATATATCAAAAATGGATAAAGCATTGAAAATCAACTACAATTTAAAAAAAGAAAAAAATACCTATCAGAAGAATCAAAAAGAAAAAATGGACAAAGCAAAAAGTCCCAGATTTTGCAGATACTAAGTAATCAAGGACAGTAGGTTATTTATACTGTGCATAATGTCTTGGTATTTAGAGGTATATAATAATAGAATATTAACTTTGAAATATTTCCCTTAATGTTTAGTTTCTGTTTTATCTTTATTTTGGGGAATCTCCTTAATATGATTCACATTTTTACTGAGCTTCCAGGTCCTTATCAACTGTACAGAAATCAAACAGCTGAAGAAGTTAAATATTTCAAACCTCATAGGGACTAAGTACAGAAACTAACATAGACTTTGCTTTACGTCATGGAAAATAAATTGTTTTATTAATCCTCACAGAAAGCAGTATAGAAGTTTATGAAGCGAAGCAGAAACCTATTAAGCACATAGTATCTCACACTGTTGAGAAACTATAATCAAACATTGGTAAAACTGGACTTTAGGATTAAATATGGCTTTAGACATCATAGGGAAAAAAGGTGCTTTACTGCATAAAGAAGATATACGCAAAGGGAGAAGAAAAAATAATCAAATTCTCAACACTGATCATGGACTGATATAAAATGCTTGACAAGATCTGAGGGCCTGCACTTTGGTAAGATTTTACTTTCTAATCATATAAGATATGGGGTTAGTTATTTTAGAATGGGCCAAATTCTGTCTGAGTCATTCCTTATCACTCAGGAGGTTAAAAGTTCAATTTCATAGTAAATTGGATAGTACAGTACAAAAATAGTAAAGTACAATTTTAAAGATAAAATTGTATTACTAAAAACTGTATAAGTCTATATTAATACAGCATTAGAAAAAGTGACTCCTACTGGGTTATTGATATGTAATACGAAAAATGTGTCATCTCAAGACACTGAAATACAAACCAAGAAAGCCAGGGCAGAACATGTATATCTACACAAACAGATAAATTTTTATTCAAATCATATCTTTTTGGGAAAAAGAAACAAGTAAGAATGGTAATCATTTCAACTTAACAAATATCTACTGGGCACCTAAATACCAAGTTTATTGAGCAAGGTCAGGCGAAATCACAGTTTAAAGACCTTAAGTAACAGCTGACTGGATTATACAAATTAAAACTGATAGTACAGAGGAATAATAGTATGTATTCATTTTTTATTGCTGTGTCATAAAGTACTACAAACTCAGCAGCTTAAGACAGACCCATTTGGGGTCTCAGGAGTCTGGGCATGGTTAGCAGGGTCCTCTGCTGGGGGTCTCACCAGGCAGAAATCAAGGTGTCAGCCAGGGCTGCCACCCTCATCTGAGGCTCAGGATCCTCTTCCAAGCTCATTGGTTCCTGGCAGAATTCACTCCCTTGTGGCTGTCACGGCTAAGGTCACTACATTCTTGCTAGCTGTTGGTCAGAGACCACTATCAGCTCCCACAGGACACCTGTGCTTCCCTGCCACGTGAACGCGTGCTTTTTCCCAGGCCAGCAGAAGCTGTCTCTCTGACCTTTTCCCTTCCAGGCTGCTATGAGGGAGGCTTATAAAATAGTGACGTGACCACAGGAGTGGCTACCCCATCAGCAGGGCCATACAACACAGCCTAACTAAGGGGCTGTGACACACCCTGTTCACAGGTTCCCCCATGCTCCAGTGGAGGGATAACATCAGGCCTGACCCCTGGAGTCAGGAATTTTGGGACCACCTTAGAATTTGGCATGTAAAGGATGTTATGAGGGCGAAAGAAGAAATGCAAGATTCAGACTGGCAGAGCAAGGAAAGGAAAAGGAGCTTAACAGGTGAGTCCTTGCAGGCCAAGCTCAGGCACTGCTCTTGAAATTCATTCCTCCTTCCTTCCTCCCTCCCTCCCTCCCTTCTCTCTCTTTCTTTCTTTCTTTTCTTTTTCTTTTTTCTTTCTTCCTTTTTCTTTCTCTTTCTTTTTCTTTCTTTCCTTTCTTTTTTTCTTTCTTTCCTTCCTTCCTTTTCTTTTTCTTTCTTTTCTTTCCTTCCTTCCTTCTCTTTCTTTCCCTCCCTTCCTCTCTCTCTCTCTTTCTTTCTTTCTTCTTTTAAATGAAGAAATTAAGGCTCAGGAAAGTTAAGTAACTTCCCCAAGGTTGTACAGTGTGGATCTGCCCAAAGGAAATGTCTGACTTAACCTACCTAGGTAAATGGCTGGTTAGGTCACTGGTTACCTAGGTAAATGGCTGGTTAGGTCACTGGTTACCTAGGTAAATGGCTGGTTAGGTCACTGGTTACCTAGGTAAATGGCTGGAGGTAGGAGTGAGAGTGAGGAGGGACGGAGGGTGCTTTCAGGTAAAGACTAATACAGGTATCAGGACGTAGCTCCAGCAGGCCACACACAGTGGGGAAACTGCAGTACGGTCCTTAGCTCAGCATGACTAGAGCGCATGGCACGACCAGGATGAGTGCGGAGAGACTGGCAGGGCCCCGCTTAGTACGGGTCTTCTGAAAACGGAATCTTCAGGTCTGCGTGAAGCTAGAGGACTTTAGGCAGAGTGGAGACAAACTGTATTTGATTTTAAAAAGACGCCTCAGGCAGGAATGGTGTATCACAGCCTTCACAGCAAACTTTTTATGCAATTTTAACAGTGTCATATATTAGTTATCAGTACAAATTACAAACCAAATATGTGCAGGAAAACTAAGGAGTCATAATAGATGCTGAAGAACTCTAGTAAAAAGTAAGTGTATCCCCCCAAAAAGCCAATTGTATACCTTTTCAAGAGCAGGAGGAAACTGGAGAAAAAGCAGTAGTGTAAGTGCACTGGCACCAAAGGCCTACCTTCATTTCACCGCTTCCACCAGCACTCAGCACGTTTCTCCATCCTTGTTCCCTGGCCCTATTTATTTTCTCCAACTTTTGGGGAAAAGAAACAAACAAAACACCATTTCAAATATTTAGTATAAAGTACATGAAATACATTTAGAAATAAAATGGAATCAGTGTATCCCTTTAAAAAAAAAAAAGGGCGGGGGGGACTTCCCTGGTGGCGCAGTGGTTGGGAGTCCTCCTGCCGATGCAGGGGACACGGGTTTGATCCCTGGTCTGGGAGGATCCTGCGTGCCGCGGAGCGGCTGAGCCCGTGTGCCACAGCAACTGATCCTGCGCTCTAGAGCCTGCGAGCCACAACTACTGAGCCCGCAGGCCTACAGTCCGTGCTCCGCAGCAAGAGAGGCCACCACGATGAGAAGCAAGTGCACTGCAGCGAGCCGTGGCCCCCACTCACCGCAACTAGAGAGGACCGGCGTGCAGCAACGGGGACCCAACGCAGCCAGGAAAAAAAAAAAAAAAAAAGGCACATGTGTAGGAGGCAGTGCAGCACACTGGGGAAATGGACCATCCTCTTACCCTTTCCTTTTCTTGCCTTTTCATCTGTTCAGCCTTCATTAAACTAATCTGTAACAAGTTTTAAAGACAAACTTTTTAGAACACTTGAAACTATTATCCTCTCCAACTTGGCAGGGGAAAAAAGTAAGAGCGAAATAACTACCTGATCCTTTTGTTTCTTTTCTTTTTCATTCAATTCCAACCTTCTCTTCCTTGCTGGTTCCTTAAATAAAAAAAGAACATTTTTTTAATCAATAATAAATATTACTTCTTCTAGTTTCATCAGTAAAGCTAGCATACCAATGGTAGACATATGCCCAGGGAGGTTAAAAAACAGAAATAAGTTAGAGGTATTTGTTTGAAAGAAATAAGGAGGAAAGGTTTGGAGGTTTTATAAGATTTGTTTCTTCTTTTATAATTATTTTTACAAAGCTTTAAAATAAGCAGACAGATGTCTTTATACCTCAAACAGTTTCCTCCTTTCTTCTCCAGGATTCACTTTCTTCACTGGACTTTGATGGGCCTGGACAAAAAGTAAAACTACAAATTAGATAAGGATTTTGAAAAATTCAAATGTATGGAAATTTAAAACAGGAAAAAATGTAAAGCCAATACTGCCATAACTGTCTTTCAAAATATATTATCCCTGGGGCTTCCCTGGTGGTGCAGTGGTTAAGAATCTGCCTGCCAATGCAGGGGACGTGGGTTCGATCCCTGGTCCGGGAAGATCCCACATGCCGCGGAGCAACTAAGTCTGTGCACCACAACTACTGAGCCTGTGCTCTAGAGCTGGCGAGCCACAACTACTGAGCCCGCGTGACACAACTACTGAAGCTGACGCGCCTAGAGCCTGTGCTCCGCAACAAGAGAAGCCACCGCAATGAGAAGCCTGCACACCGCAACAAAGAGTAGCCCCCGCTCGCAGTGATTAGAGAAAGCCCACGCGCAGCAATTAGAGAAAGCCTACACACAGCAATGAAGACCCAATGCAGCCAAAAATAAATAAATAAATTTTTTTTTAATAAATAAAAATAAAGTCACCTATAAAGAAGTAGATAAAGGACATACACAGAGGTTAGCAAAAATAAAGGAAATAGCCAGTAACTACCACCCAAGTCAAGGCACAGAATACTGCCAACAAGCAGAAGCCCTCCACCAGAGAGGTAGCCACCATCCTGACTTTACTAATCACTATCTTGCTTGTCTTTATGGCTTTGCCAATTATGTACGCCTTCCTAAGCAATACAGTTTAGTTTTCTGTGTTCTGAGTTGTATATTAATGGAATTACACAATATATATTCCTTTGTATCTCACTTCTGGTGCTCCACATTGTTTTCAGAATCGCCCATGTTATTATTTGTATCTGCATTTGTTTTCTTCATTGATAAGTAATACTCCATTGATGTTGATTCCTTTCTTGCATAGTTATCTTGCACTTTTCTCAGCAGGTCTAAAGTATTTGAGAATTGGGAGACTGGGATTGACATATATACACTAATATGTATAAAACAGATAACTAATAAGAACCTGCTGCATAAAAATAAATAAAAAATAAAGTATTTGAGGGAGTCTGTCACTATGTCTCTCCATTTCCTTTTCTGATTACTCATTTCTGCATGCTGAACTTCTATCAGGCCACTTTACTGAATTCATTAGGAATGTTCTGCTGCTTCACTAGGATTTTCTACCTAGGGAATCATATCATGTGTAAATGTCTGTTTCCTCTTCTCTCCCAGTATTTATGTTTCTTATTTTTTTCTCTTTTTAATTACATTAGCTAGGCTTCTGGAATAACATTAAATAATAGCAATCATTGCAAACATCCTTGTTTTGCTCCTAACTTTAATGTAAATGCTTCCAATTTTTCAGAATTATGTATAATGCCTGACATGGGTTTCTAGTATATATAACTGTGTCATGTTAAGAACTTTCCCCTCTATTTCTTGAATGAAAGAAATGTGGATTTTTAAAATTTATTTATTTATTTATTTTTGGCTGCATTGGGTCTTCGTTGCTGCACGTGGGCTTTCTTTAGTTGCGGCGAGCGGGAGCTACTCTTTGTTGCGGTGCGCAGGCTTCTCCTTGAGGTGGCTTCTCCTCTTGTGAAGCACAGGCTCTAGGCACACGGGCTTCAGTAATTGTGGCATGTGGGCTCAGTAGTTGTGGTGCACGGGCTCTAGAGCGCAGGCTCAGTAGTTGTGAGCTTAGCTGCTCCACAGCATGTGGGATCTTCCTGGACCAGGGCTGGAACCTGTGTCCCCTGCATTGAGAGGTGGATTCTTAACCACTGCGCCACCAGGGAGGCCACTGGATCATTTTTAAAAACCATTTTATTGAGGTACGATGGACATACAAAAAGTTGTACATGTTTAATGTATACAACCAAAGAAGTTTTTTTTTTTAAACTGTTAAATTCTACTCAACTTTCAGTATCTACCGAGATCATTTATGTATGATTTTCTCAACTTACTAATGAAGTGAAATTAACCAGTTTCCTACTGTTGAACCATCCTTGCATCCCAAAATGTATCCTATTTAATAATTCTTAAATCATTCTTTTGATAAATGGTTTGAGTTTTTGAAAAACTTCTTTTAGGATTTCTGCATGTGTGCTCATAAGTATAACTGACCCATGGATTTCTTTCTTTTTTTATCTTGGGCTAGCTACTCAATTTTGTGAGCAATGTTAAGCCTACTGTATGATCAGTGTTTCAAACCGTTCAAAATACAATTCCATATACCAAAAAAGATTAAAAGTATTTACAGGAAACTCTAGCTATTTATCATGAACGAATTTTAAATTTTTCAGCTACCTCAGGAAAAAATGAATATAAAAAGAAACACTGTACAAAATTATTTACCAATGTTGGGTTTCAACTCAAAGGAAAGCAAATGCTACTTTAAAAAAATTATTTCAGTGGTCATTTACATTATTAGTCAAATAATTCAGCATTTGATTATATCATTAAAGTGTCTCCACTAACAATTCCATTTCAATAGCAGCTGTATTTTGGCAAAAGTCAATGTTATGAAATTACTTTCATATACCACTTATTGCTTCTACTTCCTAAATTTTGTAAAATGACCATAATGGATAAGCACTAAAATTCTAAATGCAAATTCAGAATATTACAAAATAAATATGACCCACAATCAATATGAAATTAATATAATTCCAGAAATATATTACTGTTAAGATATTATATAGCTCACAACACATAAAAAAGAACTAGAAAGGCACCAAAAGTTTCCTTTCACTAAAAAAAAAAAAAATTCAAAAAGATATTTAAAGTTTCTGCTTACTTTAGAAAGCAACATGATACATAATTTAAACATAATTTCTTCCTTAGGAAATGCAACTAACTTACTTTAATGAATACATTACTTAATCTGAGCACAATAAAATGATAATATTTACAATATGTAACATCATCAAATGGGTTGATAAACTGTTAAAATGAGAATAATGATTCTCTTATACTGTGTTTTGGCATTTTAATTAAATGACCATTATAAACCAAATCCATTTTATTGATACAGTATGTTTTAAACTCAAAGCTACATCATCAATGTGATAAGTGGTATTAAGTCTCATACCAGGGACTTCCCTGGCAGTCCAGTGGTTAAGACTCGGCACTTCCACTGCAGGGGGCATAGGATTGATCCCTGGTTGGGGAACTAACATCTCGCAAGCCGCGCGGTGCAGCCCAAAAAACAAAAATAAAAACAAAACCTCACACCATGACTAACTAAATGGCAAGTTTACTCCCTGGCAAAACGACCCAAGCAGTAGGTTCCCGGAACCGTCCCTTCTCCTCCTCACTGTATTATTAGATCCTAACTCCTAACCTAATGCTGGCTAGTTATTTCAATTCAACCTTCACTTAAGCTGAACCATGTATCTCACCACCTCGCCCCAGGAAAGACACTAGGGTTAATGAGATGACAATAATACTGAAATATTTAAAGAACAGTAGCTTTCAAACTTTTTGTAAAAGCAACCCACTGTAAGAAATATATTTCAGGGCTTCCCTGGTGGCACAGTGGTTGAGAGTCCGCCTGCCGATGCAGCGGACACAGGTTCGTGCCCTGGTCCGGGAAGATCCCACATGCCACAGAGCGGCTGGGCCTGTGTGCCATGGCTGCTGAGCCTGCGCATCCGGAGCCTGTGCTCCACAACAGGAGAGGCCACAACAGTGAGAAGCCCGCGTACCGCAAAAAAAACCAAACAAACAAAAAACAAGAAATATATTTCACATCCAGGCCCAATTAAGATACATACACACACACACACCCAAGTTCCATAAAATACTTTTACTATGTGTAGCTGAGTCTGTTACTTTCCATTCTATTACTTAAAAAAAAAAGTCCGTGCTCTTCACCCACTAAATGGTTTTGCTACCACTAATAGATAGCAAACCCCTCTTTTAAAATAGTCAAGAGAGCGTTCTGGGGGCACTATTACTGACGTACAAGGAAAAAACAGTTGTATATAATTTTTTTTATGGCATTACAATCACAAAGTTAACATTTCAAAGTATGTTTTATATATATATAGAATTTAAACTAGTAGGGAATGCTACCCAGGAGCTTCGTAAAAATACATATTCCTTCCATACAAAAGAGTATTACTTGGCAATAAACAGCAATGAAGTACTGATACATGCTACAACATGGATACATGCTACAACCTTGAAAACACTATACTAAGCAAAAGAAGCCAGTCACAAAAGACCAGGTACTGTATGACTCCAGTTACATGAAATGTCCACAACAAGCAAATCTATACAGAGACAAAAGTAGATTAGCAGTTGCCCAGGGCTAAGGGTTGGGGAAGAATGGGGAGGGAATGCTAATGGGAAAAGGATTTTGTGGGGAGGCAAGGAAAATGTTCTAAAGTTGATTGGGGGGATGGTTGCACAACTCTTGCAAATTCATTGGAAACCATTTAATTCCAAACTTCAAATGGATGAGTTGTATAGTATGTAAGTTATATCTTGATAAAGCTATTTTCAAAAAACACATATCCCCAAGAGTTGCTGAATTATAATTTCTGGACACAGAGCCCTGCGTACTACATTTTAACAAGTTCCACAGGTGAACCCTTATGTAGCAGGTCTAGCACTGGTCTCCACATTTGTGAACCACGACACCCAACAACTTAAAAATATTAACATGAGTGATACAGCATCTCACTATACATGACCAGCTTTACACCAGATTACACAACTGTGTGCAACAAGAGAATGTTTAACTAAGACACCTGCGTACTCTTGGGTAAGTCACATGAAAGCAAGAGTTACATTCATGTTTTGGTTCTCCAGATTGCAGCCTCACATAAGATATACAAATATTTGTGAAATAAAAATGCCAAGCTGTTCCTCTGACATCACACAAGTATTTTCAGAACACTATTTCTACACAGAAGAGAAAAATATGGTTACATAAAACATCCATATTAAACGAAAAGTGTTGTTTTGTTTCTTTGCTCAAGTCAGAACCAAAATACTGAAACATACTCA